TAAAATTCATGAATACCCTTGATAAGGCCAACAAGAATGACAGAAAAATGTATAATCGACCGTTCTCATTTGCATTCTGATAACTCTAGAGCTGGATTTCAACGTTATTACCAATTTTCTTGGAAAAACGGCCTTAGTTTTGCTCTTTGATCCAAAGTATATTGGGATATTACCATTTTCATTCTTGGACCCTCGTATAATTATTTTGTTTCTCATAAAAAATGGAATATAATTTGATAACTTATCAAGTGCAATGAGAATTTATATGTTTATGAGAAGGATCGGAGTGAAGAACGTATGTACATAATGGGGGACGGTATAATAACACTCACCATCATTGTAATCTCTTAGAAGTTTCTACAAGTTCTATGACAGTATATTAAATTTTGGAAAGCTGCAATCATGGTATAAGAACTATGAAAGGTTATTGTCAGTTCATTTCATTGGAAATTGAAATAGAATAATGCATTTTGCCTAGTGAGCTACAATGTACAGGTAGTTGCAAAAGTCGTGAATTTTATTTGATATTTTTGTATGAAAAAAGAAAGAAATACAGGTACTTCCCTGTCTAATTATGAAATCCTACGTTACTCTCCAAACACTGAAATGTTCAATCACTATTTAAAAGGGCTAAGGAGTGACCACCTCTTTAAAATGGTAGATTATCACTTTGAACATGCTGGAATCAGGATCCAACATTATAAAGGTTGAATCTAGCAGGTTAAAACTTAAAAGTATCAATCTGACATTTTGAAAGAGTGGTCACTCCTCGGCCATTTTAAATGGTGATTTAACATTTCAGTTTTTAGAGTGTACTAATAAGTAATACTTAGATAATGATTCTTCCATCACTAGGCACGGATAATATATACCTATATTATTTTATAGTTAAGTCATTTCTTCAAATTCCTCTCATGATCGTTAAGGAATCGTTAATACATCCTAACTTGATAGATCAACCAGGGAGGTGCTCTCACTTCTCTAGATCAACATTGACTTTAGTTACCAACATCTGTATTTTCAAAGGCTTTATATAGTCAAAATATTACTTAAAAATCTGTCACGCTCAAAATGAGATTTTATTGGATCCTAGAGAGGGCATAACTGACTGCGATAATTTGAACAGCGTACGATAAAGAGCAGCCTTCAAATGTGTTTTACCAATCATATAGAATGGAAGCATAACCTGTGTGCATATTACATCCGCTCAACACACGCAAAGCGTACAGTACATGTTTATTCTTTTCAAAATTGGCCCTCTGTTTTTGAAGGTATTTCTCGCATAACTGAGCATTCCTAATTTGAAACGAAACTAAAAGCGGAGAGGATGGAATTCCAAAGTTTTTGTTTGCAAGTTTGCCCCTTGTATTTGACCTTTGACCCGATTGGTCATTTGGTCACCCGTTCTAAGAGCGGAGGAGCGTGAGAAATCTATACCAACAACAGGTAGTGGGGAACTAGTCTGCAGACACAGTCGTTCCGAAGAAATAAGTTTGCCTATATTTTGATGGACAGGCGAAAGGCTGTAATAATTATGCCTACCCGTAGAGCGCTTTATATATTAATAGAATCGAATTATTAAGCGGTTCACATGTGCAACTGTTATTATAATTTTCTTTGTTATTATTATCGTCATTATAACCATTATGGTTAACTAATAAACGCAAATTCGTATTTACACCTCATACACGCTCTAAATTGTGTAATTTTACACATGCACACAATGCATGCATTTTATGAGAAGATACAATTATGGTACAAAGATAAGTGGGAAATAACCTCTAAAATAACTTGTTTTTGACGGCAAGATAACTATTTAAATCAGTTTATTTATCATCAATTAACTATATTTAAAAATTGTTTATACAATTTATAACTGCGACTATTTTTCTATTCGTTCGTTTGCTCAATGTGTGAAGGAAACGAATTTACCATGGAGAAATTAATCTTCGAGCACAAAATAGGCATCAAAATATTACTAGCGTATTAAGACTTTTTGTTTTCTTGTTTACAAATTAATTTTTGTGAAGTATTTCTTGACAATGGTAGAGCCTAGATGTATCTAAAAAGATTGTGTGAAGTTTTTATAAAATTTATAAAATCATGATGAATTACATAGCAACTTTCTTTTTGTTTAGTTACAAACAAAACAATGAATCATTGAAGAAGTATTGCTCTACATGTTATTTCAATTTACTCCTAAAACCTATTTTGAAAAATGAAAAGCAAAATATAGAACACTTTTTTTAACACCGGGAGCTTTTTTCTATATCGGAATTTTTACGAAATGAAATACGAAATTCAAAATTAACAACATTTCTCTACTAAAGTTCAATGAGCAAAAGGAAATGCTTATACAGTATATGTATTTACATATATGTTTATATTATTGTGCGGATTTCTAGTGTATATAACTCTTTATATTATGTAAAAAAACACTAAAATCTCATCGAAGATGCTCCCTTGAAATTGAATCTGTATTTTCTTGAATCGGTAAACTTCAATTTCATAACACTGCAAAATTTGATTATGTTTATGATATAATTTACTCGAGGTTGCACGAAATGGGGTTGTTTTGGAAAGAAAATAGGGATTATTATTATTTCATGTATAAACTATAACTTTTTAAAACTGACAATTGTTTAAATATTACACCAGCTGTGTGTTGTCATGGGATATTACTACCAGATACTGTTTTTTTGTTGTTGTAATTCTCTTATTTTGATGATATACATGAGATTCACAATTGAAAATTATGTGTGAACGATACGTATGATAAATGTTATCTAACGTGATCAACAACGCATACTGTCGTGATTGTTTTAAAAAGAAGGAATAAATTATATTAATATATTTTATAATATTTTAGTTATCTTACCTAAATGATAGCATGTTTACAAATTTATAGTTTTGAAAAGTATGTGTATGATTACATTTTTAGATGACATCGAGCATGTGTCGCGGGTGTGGTTTTGAAGCAAAGTATGTATACACACATGTATTAGAATCAGAATTTTTCTTTGCTATTTCATCTGCTATTTTTTACCATTTTAACAGGATATTTACAATTCTAAAACTTTGAAAAGTTGTGCTTACGATAGGTCATCGAAGATTCGCTTGCTGTTATGAACAGAAAAGAAAATGAAAAAAATAAAAGAATTATTGATTGATGCAAGTTATTCTACTTAATCAGCGAAAACCTTTGTATAATTATTAGTTTCATCTGTTTAAAAAATCTTGGTCTGTAAAAAGTGGCCATATAAGGACCCTTTTTTGACATAAATATGAGAAAAGCGTGCTCATGTGCTATCTTTTGAAAGTTAGCCATGAAGAGAAAAAACGTAAAATGCAAGTACCTTTCAGAAGCCCAGTATATATCTTATTATGCACAGCGAGGTGCTATTGGCAATGACTTAGGAACAAACCTTGACAACGTGATAAACTAAAGGGAGCACGAATGTATTGGTCAAGGAAGTGACCCGGCCTTATCTTCCATTGACCTTTCGCTACTTGACCTGACCTTTGCCCTCCACCGAGAAATGTAAAACGGTAGCAGTGAAGTACATCTACATACGAGTTCTTGCACTAGCTTTTGACTCAACGTACACCACCGCTATCGCATGGGAACACACAGGAGAGCCCATGTGTTGTAGAATCCTTGTTTTGACATTTTGGGCTCTTCAAGTTTGCAATAATTTCGAGTGTTTATTTTAATGGCAAAAAGAAAAACACACAGTGTCATGTGATATACAATTTGTATCCAAGAAAAGAAGTGAAATCCTTTGTAATCCAACTTGGATGCAACCTAAAAATGCGATGTTACAATCTCTTTATTCTCGAACCATAGAGCTTATAATTTCATAAGGTTTACTACTGTTGAGGATTGTTTGTATTTGACAATAATAATTCTATGATCAAATGGCATTTGTATTTTAAGCCCTATTGTCAATAACATTTATAACAATCAATAGAAACATAAAAACAACAATACAATTCGACAGAAAATGAAACACGTGATAAATGTTGTAGCAGAAGATTGTTAGGTTGCAGAGGAATCAGTGACACAAACACACACAAAACAACACAAAACTGGAAAATAAAGTGTATTTAATTCAAATGAATCATCCATAAAAAGATACGTGGCTAAGCCAAGAACCAAACCCCGTGATATTCCTTTGAAATTTGAAATAATATCTTTCTAAGTATTTCTATAGAACTAAGCAATTTTTCGAAAAGTCTAAATTTCAAAATTTGCAGTTTTAGCTCGTTCATCAAGACTCTTTTCGATTAAATAAGTTGCAATTATTTTACTCATACATTCGAAAAACGTTTATTTTTCAAGTGTTAATGGATTTTTCGTACTTCTTTTATCTAAAGACTTCTTTACACGATACACGTAATCACGTATTATTATGTTTAAGTACATCATTTTGCCTGGAAGAGCACTTTACTAGCATAAGTCAAGACTAGTCATTGGTGATTATTAAATTAAATTTATTTAGAATAAAGGGAAAATTGATTAAAATTGGCAGTTGAGTATTTCTAATTGTTTGATTACGTTTTCATCGAAAGGAAACGAAGTATAGTGTATTTGAAGATTTCTATTTGTAAAACAGTTATGAACACAATACAGTTCAATATAATTCGTTTGAGAGAACGTCATAAAGTGCACTCCTGGAAATTTTCACGAGAAATTTGTGTAATACTGCTGAAAGTAAAAGTTATGTATTAGTTTACGTTATTGACGATCCATGTACAAGTAGGTGATCATTTTTGTTTTATTATGTTATACCTTCGGCACACCGATAAGAATCGGTTGGTCTGGAATTTCTTCTGCATATATTTAACTCCTTATTCTGAAGAAGAAAACAATAGATGGGCAATATAGTAGTCAAAATGTTTTCACGTGTAAGATATAATGATCAAATATATTTTCGCATTGTTTTAAAAAACACTTATACTAAAATAATGTTTAATTTATTCGTGTGCTTTTTCGATAGAAGGAGCTGTTGGAAGTGAAGGAGATGGGGCGAGTGAGACGTTAACTGCAGCCGAGCAGGAGCGGGCAGATGAGGTGCGGGCTGCCGCCGTGAAGGCGGCGGGAGATCAACTACCAGGCGAACTCTACAGGGGCAAATGCAAATGGTTTAGTCTGGCCAAATGCTACGGGTTTTTAACCCCTGACGATGGCTCTGGGGATGTATTCGTTCATCAGGTGAGATGCCATGTTGCAATGAGTTTTGTCAACAAAGCTATTATTAATATTGAATATCGGGTAATCAGAGAGGTAGGTGAAGTATGGAGGTGACACTCTTCAGTTTGATACGAAACACTAGGTTACACGGTAACATGTTGTACCACATGGAAAGCTTGACGCTAGTGGTGAGGTGCTATCATTGGCACTACCAATAAGGCTCCTGTGGGGACCATTAGTCCAGTTGAACTGGTATCTGTTACACAGTCATCATCGTTTTTAAACTTTGTATCTTCATTACTCAAAGTCTTACTCACATTCTCTTCCTCCCTCTTTCTTACACACACACGCACACACTTTTTTCACACCCACACACACGCACGCCCTAACTTTATGAGCACATACACTGTACTATTTTTCAATCTTAGTTACTCCCAAACATTTCACCCCCCCCTAACTACGTTGTATAGCTACCTTGTTCTCTTGTTAGGGTATTCCTCCATACACTATTTACTTCACGTATACACATAATTTTGATTAAAATTTGAGAAAAAGTAATATTCAAGTTATATTATATTATTATATTTATAGTTATGTAAAGTGTGTGATGATAACTCCTTTAAGTTTATGTCAAATGTTAGGTGACGGTAATGAGAACATGTAAGTGGTCATAAATAAACATGAATAATTTATATAAACCACAATCCGATAAGTACTGATCAATTTTCAATTGTAATGAAATTAAATAAATCACCGATTGCATTTGACATTTTAGAATGGCAACTGTTACATTTTATTTTTGTTTGGCATAAAAATCACGTCACTCCGATGGAGATGGATTTAATGAGCAGCTCTCAGAAGATGATTGAAGATTTCTCCGCTTGTATAATTAGGGAAAGATGACGTTGGTGCTATCGAGGAAGATGATGGACTTGTTTACATTTCGCATAATAACAATATTGTTTTTATCCATTTTGCGAGAGTAGAAAATTTTCTCTCTGATAGATTCTTTCTCTATACGTGATTAAAAATTTAATTGTTCAGAGATAGAAAGGAACGCTTACGCTATATTTCAATTAAAATTTTATTTTTAATTTCCAAGAAAGATTGCGAACTACTCGATCTCTTACAATAAGTCTTTAACTTTTGTAAACAGATATCTTATAGGCCTATTGTTATATCATCGAATTCTTATTATTATTATCCTTGAAAGAAAATCTTTATTTATCGCTTACTAAAAGATGATCATCCTTTTGTAAACCTTTAAGTGATGAGATTTATTTTATTCCAAGACATTCAACACTTCATGACCAACGTCAAATGTGAAATATTACTTCTAATAATCCACATAATCATTATTGACACTATTTATTTGCCTTGAAACGGCTTTGGTATAGGGTCATGGGTTTGCTTTTGATTGGCCTTTTATGCATCTACTTGGAGTTGACCCAAGTCGATAACAGTTTTTGTTGCAATTCCATCAATTGAAACTTTGAAAGCTTTGAAGAGGACAACTATTATTATCAATTCATTTATTTGTTTAATACATTAATTATATATTTTGATAATGCGATGAAGACGCTGAACAGGACCAACATCTAAAATGGAAGAATCTGCATTTAAAGAAGTGTGTTTTGATTAAAAATAGATATAATGACAGAGTAGTTGAAAAGGTGTTCATGTGGCGGTAACCTTGATGGTTTGAAAAGGAAACACTGCTGGTACTCAGTGCCATATTTACGATCAACACTAGCTTGTTGCTCTGTTGAAGATACCCTTGACAAACTACCTATTCCTATATGGTTGTGATGATCATCAAAGCTTTCTTGCGTCGAATGACGAAGAGCAGCAGAAAATGACATGTATATGAATGAAATTATTATTATCACGTAAAGGGTTAATATCTTGGTTGTGATATTTGATTAGTGACGGGATTGTCGATTTCTCGAGATTTCTTTTCTGCCAATAAAGTAATATCAAATAAACGCTTTCAGAGCCATTTCAAGGAAGTATTTTTTAAAAATATCAATCAAAATGTTTCCATTGGGACATTTCAAAACGTACCCATAAAGACAATTGGTATAACATTGTACGAACATAACCGCACGAAAGCATAGAACATTCATCATGACTTTGTAGAACCCCATCGAGGTAAAACAGTTTAAAAAGAGTGAAAGTGTCATGGCGGAACATGAATGATGTTGGTGTAATACTTGAGTGTCATGATCGCTCACAAATGATGAAGTATGTTAACGAGAATAACCCCACCTGCTGCGATAAGAAGAGGGTGCGAGGGGGATCCATGTCATCTGACGAATGACACCACGTTTTCTGATGTTCCATTTTCTTCTTAATCACCATTCATCAGGAGTGACTACTGATCGCATCCTTAACAAAAGTAACGCATTTTAATTTAACCTTTTGTGAGAGAGCTGAGTGTACTGACGACAAATTTGGTTGAATTAATCACTTAAGGAAACAACTTTAATGCTGGGGATATGTTATTTGCATTATTTGCATTACGAGACGCTATTTCTTATTCTTCATGAATCTGTCCTCATTATAATTGTCATAGAAGAAATAGAAACAAAAATAGATTTTCATAGATCCCCCCTTTTGCATTGTTTTCTCATTTATCCTAATACTACATATGTAAGTTGACTTTTCTCATTCCATTGTCTTAGAATTAATTCGGAGTATATTCAATTTTCTAATGGAGTAGAAATTCCAATATTTCCAAGACAATATCTAAATATAGATACTTCCAATATCCAAAACGACATTGTGTGAAATATCTTTAGGAATGGTGCAGCATGTTACATAATAATTGATAAACACCTATAGGATGTCTTGTAAAGTGTTCCCCCGTCTGTCCGTTACCGTGTTCTAAGATTAGTTACATCATGCCCTTGACTGTCAACCTTCAAAAACACCTTGCTAGATCACCAGGCCTTCATGACCCGTCCCCGACGTGGCACCAAAGTACCACCAATGTAATGTTGTAGAGTGGATATGAGCATATGGAAATGTCCAGCATTAGACCTAAATCTGGAATATTTATTAAATAATTTTGTTGTGTATGACAAATTGTTTAATGGACTTGAAACGCTTTTTTTCATGGCTATCCCAAATATACATGTACCAAGTACTATTTTTCAATAGGATTTTCCCGACTTAGCAAATTAATAGTTATCCTTTATAAATGACTCAAGCTTACATTTTGCAATGCTAAATAAACGAACAGTGTCTTGTGCAATTACAGTTCATTTAGATACAACCGTTTTGCCATAAAATAGAGAGAAACAGCCGCTCTCATATTTATTTCATGTACTCAATCTGTTTTTATTTAAAAATAATGTTATTACCCGATTGTGGATGAGAAAGTGTTTAGGGGCATTTTTATGTGTTTTATGAATACTTCAATCTATTCGGCGTCTTTTGGGTTTTTTCTAAATTTCGTCATTCACCAGTTACATTTTCGGGTTTAGATAGCAATTTTTTAATATGAGGCCTTCACAGTTCTTTAGCTCTGGAGTCGTGCCATACTCATTCGTAGAAATGTTATGCCGCTAGCGGAAATTCCCCCACGATTTCGTCCATATTCGACACCTGTGCCTCCCCGTGTCCTCCCGTCATAGCTGCCAGTGCTTCCCCGTGATATTTTACAAACATGCTCCTCCACGCACACCCACTCCACAATGTTCAAGTTCATATAGCACAGATGTAGTTCAACGTCCATTGTACTGTAGAGATTCAGTTAGTTCACCCACCCACCTATGTACTGTGTTATTCATAGCTTCGGTCCCACGCGTAGGAATTGGCGATGGCAGCAGAAACACGTGCTCTCGAAACTTGTGATGATCAAATTAAGCATATTCTGCTGAGCTATGACTATCATTAAAATTACTAAGAATGCTACTTAAATGAATCAAATTTAGTATCAAATGTCTTATCAAACCACACATGCGTGGTGAGAAATACGTATCAGAAGCATAGTTGATTAATCTAATGAAAAGAGTTCAGACTGACCTTGGTATTGTATCTCACTTGTCTTGTAAGGTTTTAATCAGATGTATTTGTCACACCACTCACACGATATCAATTCACACAATACTGATTAGACAATTATATGTTTTAGGCCTTGTTGAGTAAATATGTTGATGGGCCAACTTAGTCCCTATAATATACATGTGCCTATTTTCCAACATAGCCTACAGTTTTTGAGCTTTCAAGTAGGGCTACATTATGATGTTAGGTACATACATGTAAATACACATCAACCAATGCTATCTAAATCTTGCAAATCATTGTTCGTCTTCATCTTATATAAGTAACTCCCATTCTATTTTGAACAAGTGAGTGGTGAATGACTTTAAAAAGAAGGTTAGGTTCTGGTAAAGATGAAGGGAACATGTGAGCTTTCTCAATCGTGTTATGTCAGTTTAGAAAGATTACCAGTGCCCTCTATCAAATGAAGGATTGCTCTTAAAATGTCCTCATGTTTGATACCACAATAAATAGCTGGGAAACAAATTGTTTCAAAAATGTGTGTAGTCCAACACCGAGTTTTTTGTGCAGTACATGTCCTCTTTAGCAGGATTGAGTCAATGTCTGTGGAGTTTGATCGTTCCATAACTTCACATTATACATACATGTAATCGAAAGTGTCACTATACATAGTCCCAAACTTCACAGTGTACATAATCACAAATTTCACTATACATAGTCCCAAACTTCACAGTGTACATAATCACAAATTTCACTATACATAGTCCCAAACTTCACAGTGTACATAATCACAAATTTCACTATACATAATCCCAAACTTCTCAGTATACATAATCACAAATTTCACTATACATAGTCCCAGACTGCTCAGTGTACAAAATCACAAATTTCACTATACATAGTCCCAAACTTCTCAGTAACCATAATCACAAATTTCACTATACATAATCCCAAACTTTACAGTATACATTACATAATCGAAATTTCACTATACATAGTCCAAAACTTCACAG